AACAAATGAATTATATATATATATAAAAAAAGATATTTAAACTTAAAAAAAAACTGAGTGTGAAAAGTGAGGGATAAAATTGTAGTTATTGTGCCATCTAGCAATGGAGTTGGCAAATAATAAAACATCACGTTGACTTACCATCGCGACTATTTATCAACAATAAATTAGTATGAATTTAATACAAACATGTTAAACAGTTATTCTTCACATTGACTCGTATTACACACATACTTACACAACATTCGTTTGTTTACGCACATAAACGATAAGGGATTTAAAATTTAAATGCGCGTTCAAGTGTGAAGAGCAATGTGTATGCGCGCGCAATGCGTGAGAGGAGGGACCGAGGGAGGTAAAACAGTTTTGCGCCGCGCACGTGTAAACGTTCAATCGATAGCAGCCAACTTCAGTGTTGTGATTGTGTCAAACAGTACCGCACGCTTGTGAAAAAAAAAAAAAAGAAAAAAAGTAGATCGGTACTCGTTTTGTTGTTGCTGTCAATGTGAGGAAGAAAAAAAAAAGAAAAAACTCAACAACCACTGTATAAACAACAAAGTAACCTAGTTACTGTTAACTTGTATTCCAGATAAGAACAAAAGTTGGCAGGTAAAAATTGGACATATAGCATGATTGTATTAAATAATAGATATCTCATGGTCAAACTCACCGATTGCAACTCGTGTACGGACCAACAGGCAACAAAGTCGACAAAACGAAACGACTACGACTTGACGTCAAGGATGTGATCCTCCCTCGGATGATCGGGGGTGTAATAATATGTCTCCAGTTGGTGATGGTAAACTGCAAAATTGCCGGCGCGTGTACGAAAATATGTACCTCGACACGCCTGGGACCAAGAACGCGAGACGAGTCCGAAGGAGCCTGCGGAGGAGATTGCCGATCTTGCGAATCGGAAATGCGAGTACGGAATGAGCCGACGGGCGCGGGCGACGCTTCAGTATATACCTACTCGGCCCACATATTCCCCGGTGTGTGCTACGAGTAACCTAAATTACCCCCGCCTCCCTCCCTCCCTCCCTCTCTCGCCATCTCAGGTGCACAGTGCAGACAGGATGGTGTATATAAGGCCCTCCCCCTCGATCGGCGACCACGACCCCCCCCCCTTCCGTGTATGTATCTGTGCAGTTGATATGGAAGGGGGACCCCCTTGGAGGAGAGAATATACATATACCTACATGTATATAAGCTCTCCCACTCGCGAACTCTTCTTCTTCTTCTCCTCGTGAGGCCCACTTTGCTCCTTGCTCCCATATAATATTTATACATGCACGACGGGGCCCTCCTCCTCCTCCTCCTCCTTTTTTTTATCTCTCTCTCCGCTGATGCAGCTGCTCTCCGTCCATCTACCGTCTGCATGTTTCTCGCTTATTTTAGGATCGGTTTTTTTGTTTTTTTTTTTTTTTTTGCCAACCCGATCTACACGTTGCACCATGGGCCGATTTTCTTGCACCTTGTGTATTGATGTTTGTCCGCCGTGTGGTGGTAGAATTTTTGGGGAGCGCTTTTTTCCTCTAATCGCGTGCTTCAGCTGATTTGGCAATCCTCGAGTTTTTTTTATGGTGACTAAGTTGTACATATATAGGTACAAAATCACGAGAGGTACCCTTTTCACGTCTCTCTACCCCCGACATCGACGCGATCGATTGTAATCGTCCCATCTTCTTTTCTTCGTGATATGATGTACCTATACATACAGGGGCGATTTATTCGTGTACAATATTCTACCCAATGCATAACGATCCCATCATCGAAGGATACATTACACTTAATGTATCACGTAGTTGTAGGTACTTATATCATTATCGGCTTCGGTAACTTTTGATTGCACTTTACCATCTTTTGAACACCATGTACAAACTCTTTTTTTTTTTTTTTTTTTTTTTTTTTTTTTTTTTTAAAAAAAAAAAAATAAAAAAAAAAAAAAAAAAAAAAAAAAAAAAAAAAAAAAAAAAAAAAAAAGATTTTACGTACCAAAATCCAACCCCATTTCTTTGAGAATTTCGACGTCGTCGTGAATTTCAAACTTATCATTAAAGTTCAACAGGTACTCAGTTCTAAGGAGGAAAAAAAAAAATATCAATAATCACTTAAAAGTAACCATTCTACTAGTTAAACGTAGAGTTTGTTACGTACTTGTCGTTGGAAATACTACAATTGACAACAGTTTTCTTGTCGGTATTAATAATAATAAATGGTAATTGAATTGCTGAATTTGGTTTGGGAGGACCATATATAGCTTCATTGACGCGATTTCGTTCGACCAAATTTTTAATAGTAATGTGTTGTAAAATTATCCGGTGCAATTGTTGTGTTTTTGCCTTGATTCTGTCAATTTTTTTCTTCTTTTCTTTTTCTAATTCTTTACATTCCTGAATAGAATTGGTAGGTAAACCTAACCACCTGATTTCCTTCTTCTCTTTTGAAATAATATTCATAGCCATCAGGACATTCAAAGCGTCATATACTCTTCTTCTGATGTTTTTTTGATCATATTGCTGCAGTTATCAAATATATTTATTTAGTATCAATTCTTAATTATTTACACCCAACATAAATAATTAATAAAATTAATGGCTTACCATTAATTTTACCTGGTCAGTCAGTGAATTTGCATGGGATGGATTTGTGAATTCCCCCACTAATTCATCTGCTACCTCATTATATGAAGTAGTCCCTTTGTGTTTCACTTTTTCACAAACTTTCATTGAAAAATGTCTAAGGCCCTTACCGACTTTTTCTGTCTTTCTACGCTTACTATATGGATATCTGTAATAATAATTTACCAGATATAAAAAATTGCTGCATGATAGTAAATAATTTTGAAAAAAATTGAATATATATAATTACTCAATTAGCTGGTCACTGCCTTCTGTGTCGTGACGCTTTCTATTTCCTGTGTGGTCAAGGATTGGGCTGATGTAAGTTTTGCCAGAAGCATCTTTCATCAGTTGTTGATTGGCACTTTGTTGCTATTAAACAAGTCGAACGGTAAATAATTTGAAAAATACTCACAAAATGTTATAGAATAGTTTACTCACAAGTTGAGATGCTGATACTTGAATTGTCTTAGTCACTAGAGAATCATTAGGTTTCATCGATGACATACTTTGTACTTTTCCAGCTTGTATAGGTATTGTCACCAATCCTGTAAATAATTCATCATAAAATATTACGTCACGAATTTTATTACTAAAATTTTTTTGATCCTAAAGTACATACTTTGGCCAGTATTTGATGGATTCTGAAAGCTTATGGTTCTTAAAACTTGTCCTCCAGAAGATATGAACTGAAACAAAAAATTCCGAAATAGTATGTTTTAATTTCAAATAAGTATTATTTCACTCTACGTTTTTAAGTATCTTAGCAACTAATTCTTTCTTGGTATTTGAATGAAAGAAAAAAAAAAAAAAAAAAAAACTTTATCAAAACATTAATTGCTTAAAAACAGTGAATCTTGTTGAAAACATGATAATCGGTTTACCTGAGGCTCTTGACCAGGTGTTTTGAAAACCTTGAGGTTAGCATTAGTAGCTCCAACAATGCCACCTAAGCTCTTGTTTGGTGTAGTTGAAACTACTTTAATAACTTGCCCTGAAAAAAAACACAAAATACTCTCATTAATAACTTGCCTTTCAATTACTGAACAATAACCAAATAATGAATCTTGATGAAAATACAATCATTCATGCAAACTATACACGAAAATAATAAAACATTATGTTATGTCAACCATTGGGCCACTCATTCGAGGAAACTAAATTTAGTGAAATTAAATTCTATGTCAGTTAAAACATGGATGCTTACGTCTGCACTCAATTCTTAAAATTTTCATCATATGCATCATGCACAAGGTACCCAGATGCCTGCTACAGTAGTCATTGTTATGGGTCCCATTTGTTTGTACAAACGAAAATTCTCCACACAATCATTAAAACATAAAATTCTCGCTTTCCACGATTTAACTGCAATCAAAGTGAGCAAACGAAAATCGAACAAGAGTAAAAGTAGGTTTAACTTTTCCAAACCATTGCATTATCAAATCGTCACACGCCACATGCTTCCGTATACTCGGTCGCCTGCGTTGCGAAAAAGCACGATTCCTTTTCATAACCATCACCCGGGTGAAGTTAAAAACAAACTCCGATAACAAGCGTTTAACGAAAGTTAATGGTTTATGTTAACATAAGCGCGATAACGAGCCCCGACTTTGTTTCAAAAGGAATCGATGCCCGCCCCCAGAACAACTCCTCCACCGAGCTTCTGCCTCCCACCAGTCCTCCATCATCTGCAAGCTCCTCCAAGTCCTCAAAGCACCCATTCTACCCGGGAATGACCACATTGTATAAAAAAAAGGGGCCTCCCGGTGCAGATTAGCAAACTCACCGTTGGCGTCCTGTATGAGGAAGTTCATGGTTTTGTTTTGTTGCGTCATCGTCGCGGACGACATGTATGCCTTTACGTGCCGCACAGTTTCTCAGCTCCTGGGGCTCCTCAGGGGGAGGCTGGACCCAGCTGCTGCCCCTCTTTCTTCCTCAACAGGCAGACTTCAGCAACACACGCCACAACAGCAGCGTAGATCAGCGGAGCTTGCGGACCAAGCGCATAGCCGGCGACCTCCGGGCGAAGAGTTGATGGCTAATAGCAGGTTACCGGTTGCAGCAGGAGCTCTCGGGCACGGCGTGCAGGCAACAAGGGTACGCACACGGGGAGAGAGAGAGAGAGAGAGAGAGAGAGAGAGAGAAAGAGAGAGGAGAAAGAGTATAGAACAAGTATAAGCGGAGTCTTGTAGGCTTCAAAATGGCGCGACGCACGCGAGAGCCCGCGCGATTGGCTTCGATCGACCGTACTCGGCTTCCTCGGGGAGCTGCGGGTCGACGTGGGTAACGAGGCTCCCAGGGATGGCTCGACTCTCTGCTCTTGGATCCAATAAATAAATAACTTCAAAAACGCACTCACAACACGCGACACCTTCTCAAGAGTTGTTGCTGCGCTAGGCTGGCTCTCTTCCTCCTTTTCTCTCCGTTATTGCCGCTGCTGCTCTCTTTTTTTTTCCGCACTATGTTGTACTTACATTCACCTCCTCTCCTGATTTTTCGCGTGTGCGATACGTATCTTTCGCACAATAAGTATAGCGGGGGTGTCGAGCGTGCAAGTATACAATAGTCGTATACTCGCATGCAATAAATTATGGTACACACAGGTTGCACCTGTGGCAAAGCAAACAGGTAGAATGCGTTAAGGAATAGGTAGGTACTCAATACTTATTGGTGTAAGGATTTATTGCGAGCAAGCTGGGTTAGGTGTGCTTCTACGTGTGTTTTAAAAGACGTATTCGAGGGGTGACCGCACACGCGCTTTTCTCGCGCTTATTCTCTCTCGAGTTGTGCCGTCGTGTTGCACACAGTGAACGTATAGGTAGGCACACCCCGTTGTCCACGTCCAGCCGTATATAACCGCGTGTTGGCACACTTGGCACGTTGGCAGCTGCGAGTTATAAGTATGACTTAATATGTACCTTATACATATAAGTACTCTCCAAGCACACAGCACTTAGCACATGCGACATTGTAGGTACTCAACTGTAGGACTGAACGACAGCTGGTTTTTGGCTCTGCGTTGCATACAATATTGTATACCTATGTATACGTAAATGTATGTATATGACAGTATATATGGGTCATTCTACGAAAATCCGGCATATTTAAGGGGCCGAAAAGAAAAAACACTTCAAATGAGTTTTTTTTTTTTTATTATCATTTTACAATGATGTTCTTATTTTATTTAAGGAAAATTGGGGCGTTACGGGCTCACATGAAATTTATCATAACTGAGATATCAGCGCTGTTAATAAAAATTCGACTTTGTCCCCACATTTATATCGTGTACTTATCATTCATATCTTCAAAAGATCGAGATTGTGACGCACCAAATGCGAAAGATACTTCGCCACTGTACTTATATGTCATACACCCTATAAAACGGCTATACTTTTTTAACACACCACCTTCCAAGGCAATGACCGAGTGCTTAGAAAAGATGCACGATATTATTTAGCGTTACGGGCCCCCTTGGTGTTTATTTTAGGGGCGACTAAATTTACTAATTCGCGAGCATGTAACACTAGCTTATCGTCATGAAAAATTGCTGCAACATCCTGGACCTCCATAAAATACTAAACGTCCCAATTGGAACGCCAAAATACAATTGCGCGCATTTGTGAGCACATTTTCCGCTAAAATGTTAAACTTGTTGGATTTAGGTCCCACAACTAAAACACCATCCAAGTCTTGGAGACAATATTTTGGTTTTCTCCAATGCGCTAAAATGTTGTTTATGTCAATAACGTCGTGAAAACTTTTAATTAACGAGCCGTGACACGCTAACGTAGCCCCTGTTTGTATCTAAAACTAACCGAAAACTTATTTAAGGTGTGAATTCCGTTGCACCTTCAACAAAAAAAACATCCGTTGATTACTTAAAAAATGATTTTAAACCGATATCTCCTCTCACTACGTAGCAACCAACTTATACATGAAACAAACCATTTTTCGTAGAAAGACCCATGTACATACATTTGTACACGCGCGAGCACAACTGTTTTTTCATAATATCCTAAATTATACGACATCATGCAATAAACAATAAGTATGTATGTTTTTTTAATGGCGCATGAAACTGCTGCAGTTGCACATTTGCAAGTTGTACGGAAAAAATACAACCGATGCACATACTTACCTATCGCTCGCAACGAAACTTTCCCGTCACCTATACTTACTCATAGCGAGCGGAGAACCAACAGAAACACAACATGAAGCTTGGCGGGCAAAGCGGGTAGTTCAAACTCCGAAGCTGATTGGTGGCTTGGCCGTCGCGAGGTAGGGGATGACGGGCGGAGACACGGCTCTCTCGCGCCAAAGTCGTGGTTTGAATATTCGAAGAGCGCGGAATTGTTTAAGGGAGATGATGTTTAGTGAGCTTTGAACAAGCCGGAAAATTTAAACATGGGTTGACGTATTGTTTTTTTGGGAATTATTGAAATTTGAAATCTTGACGAATAAAAAAAGTGGCGGAAAAACAAGCAATGTATTCGAAAAACTGATCCAAATATCTATTTACGAAATTATTGAAATATTGAAGAAGTCTAAAAAAAATTGTCTTATAGAATAAAAACTTACGGATATATTCACATGTTTTATAAGTGGTAAATATATATTTTACCAAAGGGCCTTACCGATGGCGCAACCAGACGTATCGATTCACTATAAAATACAACAAAACCATCTTTATTATTTGTAAACTCGCACACATACAGTTAATCCATATTTCGTCCTTTATTTGTTATTATCACCTTTCGAAACCAATAGTGTACTCTGTTGTCAACAACCTGCGGTTGATATAACGATATAACGTCTGACACCGACCGTAGGTCATATTGTCGCTCTGCTCGTCGGGCGTATTTCTTACCGATGCAGCAAATATATGTATATACATCGGTCGCGGTGGCGCAACGGTATAGAGTTGCATATATATATATCCGTCGATCTCCGAGGTTAAGCAACAGTTGGGGCGGTTAGTACTTGGATGGGTGACCGTTCAAGTCTCGCCGTTTCGCCTGTGCTGTTGATTCTCGTGGGTCGATTAACTGTTTCTCTTTCGCTTCGACAACGCGATCATAGATGTGACTGAGTTGGCCCTCGTATTTATACATATAAACATCTGGTCATAAACTACCAGTGGTAATGAATAATAAATACAAAAATTTATATATTTATACGCAGGTGGCAGGACATGGCTTTTGTTTACGGTCGCATATATAATTATATGTAGCACCTTTTCTCGCTACATATTGCACGTTTGGACCTCCACGTAATTACGTAGATACTCGTTTTTGCATAATATACTTCAATAAAGTGCCAAATAATCGTTGTATATAATCTCCCATACACTATTTGCAAGCACGAATAAAAAAAAAAAAAAAAAAAAAACGTCCAATCGTCGAAAGCCCAGTATTGTATGTACAGTAAATATATATATATATATATCTAAGACGTTGGAGAGCTTTTCGAACCGAGCTGTTGGCGCGCAATTAAGCTCGACAACCGTAAATAACTCTGCCGTGCTTTATATATATATATTTCCGTGTGGTTCGCGCAAACACGCTCTCGTGTATACGTTGTATGTAATATGTATGTATATCTGCCCAGCAGCTTCATCGAAATAGATCACACACACACGCACAAAACTTACACAACCGATTGTGTTTGCGTTGATTGCGCGCTGCGCATGCATACATATACACATGTAAAAGTTTAAGAGCGTCGTCGTCGCGAGCTTTTTTTTCCGCCCTCCCCAGAGGGAGAGAGAGTACGACGATCGTCTTCTGCTAAAATTGGCTTTTGTATATTTTATACTCTCACGGGGCATGCACCGTTTATACACCTACTCGTTTATACATCTTTGGACTGCACGAAGTAAACACAATAATAATAATTTTGCCAGTACAAAGTATTATTACTCTACCATCCATTTGTCTTTGACCGTTAGTTCAGTGCTCGTCCTGCTTTCTCGCGCGTTGCATCGGCTGCTGAAAGTGCTCTCGATTTTTGTGGGGTAGGCAACACAGAGTGGACCTTTCTTTTTCTTTTGTTTCGTTACACGGAACGTTGACGCCCAAAGTTACCGAAAACTCCCATAGTGGGTGCATATAATATTCCAACGAGTGCGTGATACATAATAATAATAATAATAATAATAATAATAATTACATGTTTTTGTGACGATTTTCTTTATCTCCGATCGAGAATCCTTTTACATTGATGTGTAATCGACGATTTCATCGTTGGCTTCTACCACTCTCATTCACCAAAAAAGCTTTTTTTTCTTGACGTTTAACGCGCGACGCTTTCGAGTGCCGTGTCCGTGTACGTATAACTTGTACGTCTCTACACATAAGCGCGATTTTAGAGGCTGCGAATTTCAACATATCCCAATGACCGTGTACTAACACACACACACACATTTATCGATCAAAGTAAACAATAAAAGGAAATCTGTACGAAACTTTCAGACGCCAAAACAATCAACAGCAATCATCCGATCCTTTTAACAACATGACGAGTAAAAGTCACCGCGAAGAGGAGGAGGGACAACGTCAATCAGCTCGCTGCTGTCCTGAGGTTTCGATCCTCGTCGCGCGACATTGCCACACTGTCACTATATAGCGCAGCACGTGTGAAAGGCGCTTTGTTTATATATAAATAATAATAAAAAAGCCCAAAATCCAATAAGCCAATGGACGCGAGGGAGAACAACAACGAGCCCGTCAAGAGCGCCAAAACCGGCAATAGGGAGGCTGCTTTTATATTCGGCAGCTGGAAGTGCAGGAACCCGAAGAAGATCCGCGTCGCCTCCAAGGACATTGCCGGCCCAGAATCGCTCGACTGCAGGTAGACATTAAGTACACGGTATACAGGGCAGCGAAACCCAATCAGCATATACATATACCTTTACACACGTATGTTTGATTTTAGGAAAAATCCACGTGCCCAGAAGCAGCATGAACCGACTCTGCCCACCTCCTCCTCGGGTACGTACAACTCGTACGGTACGACGACCACGACGGAGGAGCAAAACGAAGGGTGTCCGAACGCGACGACAACGAGACGTGCCCTTGCGGCCAGCGATCAGTTGAACGAGCAGGACTTTTGGTGTCCCAGGTGCAACGGCAAGATGGAAGAGCCGAGGCTACTCCCCTGTCTACACTCGGTCTGCACCGGTTGCGTCGACGACTTCATGAGCAAGGACTACTGCTACGGTAAAGCACACGACTCATCCCCATCAAATTTCACACCTGGAAATGATGTTAAATCGTCGGCGCTGTCGCAGGATCGTCCCAGGAGCTGGGGGTCGAGGGTCGTAGCGCGAGCTGCAACAGGCGAGCGGTCGAGGGCTGCCCGCTGTGCGACTTTCCCCTGCCCAAGTACGGGTCGTCGCCACCCCCGCCTCCGCACTATCCGCTCCAGCACCGGCTCGTCATCTACGCGGTCCGCCGAAGGCTCTCCCAGAGGGCCGTGTGCTGCGACGCTTGCGCCGACGAGGTGCAGGTAATAAGTATTTTCCAGCCACGACTTTATACGTACATACGTGTAATATACAGGTGCACGCCATCTCGATCTTCATCTTGGGAAAACCAAAACGATTTCCAATCGAGGAAGAGGAAAATCCCCCTTTGAGATGTATACCTACACGGGACACTTTTGCAATCAAAAATAAATCGAGCGTATGTATAAGTATATGTGTATGAATCGGCAGGCGACGCAGCACTGTCCGGCGTGTCTGTGCAACTTTTGCGACGACTGCGGCCCGGAGCACGAGGCCCAGTACCGCAGCCCGAGTCCCGGTCGAGGTCACGCGACCCGTCCCCTCTGGGAGGCGAGCGCCCTTCGCCGGGTCGCCGTGTGCCTGGCCCACCCGGCGCACCCGTTGCGCTTCCACTGCCTCGCGTGCCAGATGGTCACGTGCAAGGAGTGCATGTGGCGAGGGACTCATCGGGGCCACGCGAGCGAGGAGGCGACGAGCGCCGGGTCCAGGGCTGCCCTGCGGCTGGCGGCGGCTCTGCGGAGGGCCAAGAAGCTGCTCAACTCGTTGCTCACCGAGTACAGCGAGCGGGTCTTCGAGCCCGGGGAATTCAGGGCGCGCACGGCCCTCGACATCAACTCCGACAGGGACAGGTAAGGGGACTTTTTCTTTTTTGGGTGTGACTCTCTCTTTTTTTTTAACATCTCATCGGTAGAGTGCCGAGGGCGAGCCACGCGCGCAGTCGGTCGAGCATATCGTCGCACTCGAGGGAGGCCAGGGAGAGGATTCAGGAGTACTCGCGGCTTCGTCGGGCGAGGCACCTCATCGACGCCATTTTCGTGGGCGAGGATTTGCTCGCCAACGGCTCCAACGTCGAGATACTCAGTCTGGAGCTCGTTATTGCCAAACGGCTCAGGTTCCTCGGGGTCCCGGTTGAAGTGCAAGGTATACGTCGCACACGTTGTTTTCCTCCATTTAAGGATACTTCAACGAGTGTGTTGTCGAACAAAGTTTTGAAAATGAGACACTTACTTGATCTCTAATACGTGAACATACCAAATACAGTGTAATGTGTGATTTATTTGATTCCGCAGCGCAGTACGACAGTTTGAGGAAAACCAACTCGAGGACACTGCACAGCGGTATTTATCATTGCTGGTATGATCGAGATCTGGCTACTTTTATGCGCGACTTGGAACCTTACTATTACCCACAAATATAAATGATGTTTGTTGCATGAAACGATAGCACGTTCTGCTCGAGCGGAGGAAAGATGGAAGCCACTTGTGCTTGCAATGGAACGATGCCAGGTAAATAGATATCTAATTGTACAATAAAACTCGGTGGTGCACCAGAGTTTTTCAGTATTGACAATTATAATTGTTCGAATCCAAGGGGGCTACAAGGGCTGCGGTCACGGTCACCCGGGCTATCCTGGCCCACACTGGTCCTGCTGCGGCTCCACTTGTCGCGATAGCGTTTGTCTGCGGCCCCGGAAACGTACCTTCAAGATAACGCTGTAATTGCGCGTGTGTACCTATATACATACCTACTACTAATTATCCAAAGAAACATCAGAGCTTATATTTTTTTATGTCACCACCGTAACGTTATAGAGCTTTCACCAAAGACTGCGACTAAAATTGTAAATTTTAATAGTAAGTATAAATACATTTTTCTCCAAAAACCTATGGGGATATATGTGAGCTATACAGGAGACGTCGTTATTGTTGTTGTTGTTGTTGTTGTTGTTGTTGTTGAAATTGTTTCATGTTAAAGCTGTTGTGATGATGCTTGACGATTTTATTGTTCGATTCGTTTATTGTAAATCTCTAATACAACTCAATAATAATTAATAAAAATTGTTGCGACCTACGCACAATAATAAAGTCAATGATAAAAGTCTATGTACAATTTCGCAATTTAAACGCACTGTAATAACAATCGTAGAAAAAAAAAAAAAATAATTCGTACAAAAAACGCATTTTCTACCGTCAGATGTTTTTCTTTAAACTTATGCAGGGATAACAAAATATTAATCTCGGTTTAGCTCATCTGAAAAGACGTACTTGGAAAAAATCCACGCTAAACTAACACCTAAAACTGTAGCCTCTGAAATAAACAAGTCAACTCTTTATAAAAAACACTATCTGCTAAATAGTAAAAAAAAAAAAAAAAGAAAATAACAACTAAAGATATTGCAAAGGGTTATATCCAACAGAATGAAGGATTTTCTGTCGAAAGTACCTACACACTACTCTCAAGGCTTCCTGATCTCCGCGGGCAGAGCTACGATGGCAAAGGCAGCGCACAGCGCGGTAAGGGCGTAAGCCCCCATGGCCGTAGGAACGGACCACCTGAGCAATATCTGAGCCACGTAAGGTGTGACCATGGCGCCGAGCCGGGCCATGGAGCTACACGCGCTCACCCCGGTACTCCGCAAATAGGTCGGATAGAGCTCCGGGGTGTAGACGTAGGCAGCCTGAAAGACCCCGGCGATGAGACCACGAGCCAGGAACAGCCCCACGGTCAGGACGAAACGGCTGAGCCGACAAGCGCGCCCCAAGAAGCACACGACCCCAGCGAACATGACCAGCTGCAGGGCCATCGTCCGCTTACGGCCTATCTTCTCGATGACGTTGATGGTGCAGAATATACCCGGGAATTCGGCCAACGTCGTCCACAGCAGGTCCATGTAGTCGCTACGACTCAACTGGCAATTGATCAAGCACTGACGTTCCTGGATGCGCTCCTCCGCCTGTTCGCCGCACTGATCGGCCGACGTGTCGAATAACTCGGTGGTCATCAGCACCACGCCGTAGTAGCAAAAGGCACTCGACATCCTGTACACGATAGATCTCCGTTATTTTTGTCTCGTTTATTCTCCTACTCGCAAATATCGCGCCAAAACAATTATTACCACACGAGCCAGAGTAGTATCGACGTCTTGTACATGTCCTTGTTGAGCAGATCGACAAGCCTGCCCTTGCAGGTCGGATAGACGCGATCGAGGACTAGGCGTCCCAGAGGCATTGGTTTCCCATTCTCACGAGCTATTCTTTCCAGGGTCGACAGGGCTCTGTCCGTGCGTCCTGTCATCATGTCGAACGACGTTGATTCCGGCAACCACTGTAACGCGATTTCATTCAGTATTGGTGCTTCATATTTGAAGAAAAAAAAAAAAAAAAAAAAAAAAAAATTCTCGAAATTACCGGTGTTATGATGGAGAACAAAAACAAAGGGATCGTAGACAGTGCCAAGAGCCACCTCCACCCGAGATTCGGCATCACCACCAATGCTAGAGCCACTTCGAAACAAGCGCCGAGAGCCCAAAAACACTGCAATGGTCATACACATCAATATTTGATATTGCGACAATAAAATATGAGAAAAAAAAAAACAACACCTACGTCCAAGAGAATCACGCACTTGGCCCTTTGTTCGGCGGGTAAGAATTCAGCGTACAAAGTAACTCTGAAAAATCACAAGGATGGATGATATATGATATATGATTTAAGAAATCGTCATCGAGTCCAAAGTACTCACGATTGAGGAACACAGCCAATAGCAAAGCCAACCAAACCGCGAAGCAACAAAATCCATAGGAAATTCGGGGCGAAAGAGCTCAAAAACCCGTAGTAAAACAGCAACACTCCGCACAATGTGAGAGACTGTTTTCTGCCGTAACGATCGCTCAAGTTACTCCAAAAGGTCGAGCTGAGCATCATACCGAGAAACACCACCTGAACATGAATTACATGTACCACGTGTACATTGTACAATTAATAAATCAAGTTTTTGGAAAAAAGGAAAAACTCGGGTATACAGACTGTCGTAGTCAGGGCCTGTTGATATCTCGATATTCCCCAGTCGCAGTGCAACGTTGGACTTAGGATGCTGAGTATCGTCATTTCCATACTGTCCGCCATCCAACAGAGTCCAGTGAACAGGGACAATTTCACTTGGAACCTTCCAAATCCAAGCAGATTTATCGCTTGGCTGACCGTGAAGGTGTCTGTTGAGTAAAATGGTCATCAAATTATTCTCGTCTAATTTTTTGCCACCTTCGTTATCATACATTTTTAAGGCATGCTACAAGATTTTCAACAAAAAAGTATATCGTGCGTAATTTAGAAAACAAAATTATGGTACATACAAAATCGTAAAATAAGCTCACCATTGCAAGAAACTCTGCAAACACAAATAAGACGTGTAAGTAGGTATAGAAGCGGATTTGGCAATATTTATTTGTCATTGTCATGCCTATACAGAAGCTTGTGTGATCATGTTCCAAAAAAACATCTTGGCAGCCCAAGTGCCCCCTCTCTCACACACCAATATTATATATTCGATTAGCCATATCCTTCAGCGAAATTCGTCAGTAAACAGATACATGAGGATTATATAAAAGTTTTTTTTTAATTTATTTTTTTCATCCTACGTACAAATATATACAAATACATATGTACACAAAGTATATATATTATTAGCATAGATTATAAACTAAACCCACAAACCATATTTGAAATTATTAGTTTTAGAAAACACTTATAATATACATATATGTACAATATTAGAACAGCATAAAAATGCACACAGTTAGTTTTCCAAGATCAGTATTTTTCAATAGGTAATAATAATAACGCTCAGTGTATATGAAAAAAAGAAAAAAAGAAATTATTGTTTACCATCGGGAACGACGGACACCGAAGTGAGTTCCAGGGACCTGTCAAGGCCAAGGTCGCCTGGCACACCCGTCCCAATGGACGAGTTGATGGACACATGGTTCAACTCGGATCCCCGAACCTCGTCCAGCTCCTGGTAAGCTTCCGAGGACTTGCGTCCCCTCGAATTCTTCATGATACACTTGGTTATTTACCGATTTTTGTGACCAACTGCACCTATTTTTATAACCCGTACGCGCTTCACATTTTATACCGCTCGATTTGTTCAATTACAAACGAACCGCAACGAGCCCGTGATTTACCGATCATCCATGCACATACGGTTTTAACTCGCACAATTCACCAATAACAAAGATTGGCTTCCAATGTGGAACGCGACTTTACTCGCCACGGCACTCTGGGCACTCATCATCGCCTGTACACAAGCACACCTATTATACCCTGCACCGTACCATAAATTTCATATAATTATTATTAACGAACTTAAACGACATAATACACGCAAAACAAGTAGAGTACGATGTAACTGTATGTACCCATCGATAGCTGCGCGTATCGGTATGTATACAGAGAGAGAGAGAGAGAGCTGTAGACGCAAAATTTCAGGAATGCGGTGCACGAACGACGACTCCATTCCTCTCCTCCAACTCTTTCTTTCTATACCTCCTCTCGAGTCCTCGCTGATGGCTCGCAGCGTTTATATATATATATACTTACTTCACAACGTGTGTACGGTACATTACACTGTATACGACTCTGACGTTCACGTGCGTGACGACGTCTATACATGTTTATAAATAGAAAAGGCAAGTGTATCGGCAAAAAAATCCCTCAAATTGAACGACATTTCTCTTTACCGCGTCTGTTTGCTCTGTTTTGCACTGTAAGTACAGGCTATATAGAGTCGCGCGTGCCAAATTCAACCCAAAACCTGTATGACGCGGAAACAAATGAACACTCGTAAATACCGATTTTTACATGTTTTACGATCGAGTCGATCGCACCGACAGTCAATATACAAGCGGAGTAGTCGAATCAGAGGGACTGCATGGGGATCGGTAACGAGGCAAAAACCAACAAGAGGCGGATCCCTCGAATCGTGGCGCATTTGCAGGATTATTATACCAGAGAGCCCATCGATGCATCAGATATTATATCGTAGACTCGATCGAAACACGAAAAATTCGAACGAGAAAAAAAAAAAAAAAAAAAGAAACTAGTCCATAGCGTACAACCCTCAAGCAAAAACACACGGGTCACCGACCCCCGTCTCAAATCGATTAACGATCGCTTCCCTTCTGCATGCACGCATGACTCCTGCCTTGCTCTTGCATGCATGTAAGAACTGCAGAGAAAGGGGGAGAGAGAAAGAAAATAGGACCAAGACTGCAGGCGATTGATGAAGCAGCTGCAGAGCAAACATCCGAGGAGGGTAGGAAGACTCACATAGGGAGGGGGGGGGAGCAGCCCTGGATCGGTTGAGACAATCGAAACGAACAACCATGCACAGAAAAACCAAAGGGAACGAAATAAAACTCGGGCAACCATGAGAATAGACGTTAAATAAAAAATAAAAAAAGACACGACGAGATGATGTAAAAAACTATCCGAGATTTGGGGGTGGGGGGGGTGGGAGAAACGTTTATTGCAAACTGATATATTGTATGTACACATAATATAAGTAAATGTAACGTTTAACCATCCCTTTATTTTTTCTTCCCTTCTGGCGTCGCGCGCGCGATGTATATACATATATACAAACTCACCCTCTGCTAGCGGGGAGAGCGCTTTCAACAAATAATATATATATATGTAAACGCGCGGATAGTCGCGCCGGCGCTCTCAAGTGGGCTGACTGGGCTGTACATACTGTCAGAGATTAGTAGAGAGATTGCTGACTGCAATGCTACGGCGCGAGTTCACTTTTGGCCACTGTTTCGAGCGCCCCGTCGCGGCCAAGCGGTCGAACCAGGCACACATATTTTTTTTTTTATTTGAGAAGCGTGGAGGGGGTATACCGAGTGTGTGCCTACAGATTCGCGTGGAAATGGGCATGTAGGCACATACTTCGGAGACGCGTGGAAGGGGTATACTGAATATGTGCCTACGGAGAGAGGAGTGGTGTGCATGGAAATGCCGACTACAGCTATATAACTATATATACCCGCGTATATCATAGCGAAAGAAAGCAACGAGTCTTTCTCGCTATATACTTATACTTACTAACTTCTTAAATAAGGTCTTAGAAATTAAGGGGAAATAGAGAAGAAAAAAAGATTTCACATCTAATATTTGTAAAATAAAAAAACCTATTTTAATTTACAATTCTCTATAACATATGAAAGTTTAAGAGAGGCTAGCCATATTATTTTTCGAAAATTAAATCATACAAATAAATGTTTACGCAATTGGAACCTCAGACTTTCAAGGCATTTATTTTTTAGTTCTTCTTATACTTTGGATTTTCGTTTAGTACTGCGTATCAAAGTACGTTGAAAAAATATTTAGCT